TTTTTTTTTTTTTTTTTTTTTTTTTTTTTTTTTTTTTTTTTTTTTTTTACAATTAAAAAGACATTTACTTTGGTACATCCAAAATTCTTTTTCAATTATTGTTTATAGTTCAACATTTTGGTCGAAAACATTCGTCCAATGCGAAAGTCCAACAACGAAAACACTGAAACGTGGAATGTTAAAGTAAAGAATTTAGAAAATAAATCAACTGAAGAGCTACAGTTTGATGCAGTGATGATTTGTATCGGGTGAGATGGTCATAAAAATCATAAAAAAAGTCAATAAAAATGTACATTTTTGTGTTTGTACAGGCATCACTCTGTCCCTCATGTGCCGAAAATAATCGGTTCAGAAACGTTTCCAGGAAAAATGTTACACAGCCACTCTTACAGAAGACCCGAGGAATTTCGTGACGAAAAAGTACTGTTGCTGGGAGCTAACTACTCCGGAATCGATATTGCCCTGGAATTAACGAAATACGCCTCCCAAGTTTACTTGAGCCACGAAAAAGACAAGTTAAATTTTTTCCCATTGTAATGTGATTAAAATATAATATTTAATTTACAGCACTTTGCCAAATTTTATATTCAGATTAAAATACCAGCTCCCTGAAAATATAATCCAAGTGCCGGGAGTAGCCAAAATCAACGGAAATAGTGTTTACCTCAAGGATAAGGATTCAACTGTTCTCACAGTGGACAACTTCATCTACTGTACGGGATATCTTTACAGTTTTCCCTTTTTAGACAACGAATGTGGTATTGAACTTGATGACAACTACATCACGCCTCTCTACAGACACATGATAAACATAGACCATCCAACAATGTGTTTTATCAATCTGCCCAACGACGTCATACCTTTTATAACTTCGCATATGCAGGTGATTTTTTTTCGTGCTCATATACATACATACCTACACACATCTTGAATAGTAAAATTTGTTTCAAATGCATTAATTTTACGAAAATAGGTGCAGCTCTTCGTATCAGTTCTAAAAGGGACGCTAAAGTTGCCATCGCGAGAGGTGATGATGGAAGATATTAAATTGCAGGAGAATCAGAGGAAAAAGGATTATCACAATTTGGGCGACGTGCACTGGCTGTATTTAAAGTGTCTCATTGAACAAGCAAAGCTTGAGCCTTTACCCGGATTTTATGAAAATGGACTTAAAAAATGGTTCAATGCATTTTATAAGTATCCAAGTGATGTTAAAAATCTTAAATTCGTTATATCGGAAGACCGGGAGTCAGCGAGATTATTGAATCAATTTGGAGAAGAAGTTTTGGTACCAGAAACGTCTAATGCATCATCTTGATGATAATACAATAGTTGTAGTTATTACAAAAATCGGCGAAAAATATTTATTTCACGATTTCCCTAAGAGATTTAAAAAAAACTATCGTAACTTAAAACAATAACATTTTTTTTTTATTTGTATTTTGTTTCTAGACATATCCCTTCTTGTTCCTAAGGTATGCGAGTTTTCGTGCGAGTCCTACGGTGTAAAGCCTTCTTTGACACATCCATTTGCAGGTTTATGGAAGGATATCTTCACCCCATCTATATCGTACTGATACTGGGATTTCTTTTTTTTTTTTTTTCTGAGTCTAACTACTAATAGTGGAAACGCGACCTATATCTCTTGAAAAACCGACTGAGCTAGCCAGTCGTTGTCTTCCCTCAAAAGGAAGCCACCAGAATTATCCAGAAAAATCTGTTAATCGTTTTAAAAATCGGATAAGTGGATTTTTTACATACAGGATACAGGAGCTTTAAGCAAGTAAACGACATATCGTGTAAACTTAATTTTTCTGTCGATAACCCATGTAGTATGTAATGGCAGTCTTGGTCGTCACTTTCGTGGGTTACAGACAAAAATGTGTTGCTTTTATTGGTAACATTGCTTAAATAGGTAAAGCTGGGTTCTTCGTAAATAGAAAAAAAAATCGAGGAAAACCTGAACTGTTTGGATTTTTGCAGATTAGGTGGCTACAAAGCTAACAACTTAGCGTTATTGAAGCTTTCTACGATTTTTTTTAATTTTCTTACAAAAATTACAATTACATATATTTACCACGAAATAAAAATATAAAAGCTGCAAACGAATGAATTCAAAACTTAAACTTTACACTCCAAACTAATCATACAAGAAGGAAAACATGATATAAGGTGATGACAAAACAATAGAGTAATTCGGTTATATCGATATAATATCACTTTATTGCATTAAACGGACAAATACGTACGTGTTCTAAATTTTCAACTAATAATGTTTTTTTATTTGAACGCTACGTCTTACAATTCACAAAGTCTTTCGATTAGTTATATAATAATAATAATGTTGATAATAGTTGTAATATAATAATATAATGATTTGTAGCGCGTATCACCAAACGTAACTCCACTTCAACTTTGTCAAATTACAAGACTCGATTAAACGCAAAATGTATAGGTACAGTGAAAGAAATAAAAGTAAAAAAAAAACATCAGTAGCGATACACAATACATGCATATGCAGGTGCAGTCTCTTTCGAAGATAAAAAAAAGGAAAAATCGTTCCTTCGAAATACCTAAAAGACGGACTTAAAAAAGAAAATAATAATAATAATAATAATAATAATACGAATAAAATAGTAATAATAATAATACACAACAATAAGATCGTAACGGTTATTTATCACATACTACCGAAGACTTTGCGGCCTTTGGTGACAGCCAGGGACACGACGATGACGACGAGGACGAAGAAGACGAGGCCGAAGACGATAACGAAGACGCAGCACCAGCGTCTGCGTCGCTTGGCGCGGGCGATGGCGCGGCCGAGGCGCTCGGCGTGGAGGGCGTCGAGGGTGAAGTCGAGGTTCTTGTCGAAGCCGCGGAAGTCCTTGTTCCAGGTGTTGCTTTTCGAGCCGTCGTGGTTGCTCGTTGCCGACGACGATGAGTACTCGTCGCTGCACTGGAGCTGAAATTTTTTTTTTATCGATTAACGACTTGCTTACTTTTCATGTTGAGCTCACAATGTACCCCGAGATAACTAGTATGTGTTCTACCGTAAAATTTTTTCTCTGATGAAAAATTTTTGATGGAAGAATAACTGGTAAAAAGGATTTTAATGGATTTTAAGAATTAAAAAATAATTCATTCGTAACAATTTACTTGCTATTGTGCTGTTAATAATCAGTAAATACTGTAGCACTTTCACGATTAATTTTATGATACTTTGTACAAAAATCTGTGTAATTTAGCCAACTTTACTTTAATTTTCATGGGTAAAAATTCTTGTAACTTATCTTTTTTCCATTTATAATTGGAAAATTACAAACAAATAGTACCATTAATTACATTATACATAGCATCGGTTTAATGATCACCAATAAAAATAAATATAGAAATGTAATTTAGTGATATGGACCAAAATTGATACCATTTGAAATTGATACAAAATTTAATTATCATCAAAGAATAATTATTAAATTTTTATATCTAAAGATATGAGCATTGATGGATTTAATACAAAAACAGGATACAAGGAATCAAAGATTCTACACCCATTCAAATTTTAAAGTGTGTATGCGATGTACATTAATCAATACGTTTGTCGACCTACCAAATTAATCGTTATGTTTTATTTGCAATTTTTTAACTCCATTCAACTTGTCGAGTACAGATTATCAAGCATTAAAATAATCATTTTAGATTAGATAAACCTTTTTCTACCAACACACATAATATTAACATGATCGACTAAAATAGAGTAAAAGTAATTCTTTTTTTTTTCTTTGTATCTCGCAGTTAAGGAACAATTTTTCCGAGAGTCACCAAATAAAGCTTCGAATTACTCATCCCTTTTNAAAAAAAAAAAAAAAAAAAAAAAAAAAAAAAAAAAAAAAAAAAGAAAAGAAAAAAAGTAAGTAACCCTCCTCATCCCTCCTCCGTCAAAGTAACATTGGCACTCGAAAGTAAGGCCGAAGGGATACAAACAAAGAACTATTTTATCAATAATAATTAATATAAATTTTTTGTCCTTAACTGATTTAATGAATCAGTAATCAATTTAAATTTGGACAGTAAATAAATAATAAACATAGAAAGAATTAGTCTAAAGAGCATTATACTGTCTTAATTCAGAAGAGCAATGATCTCCTACTCTCAAGTGAGTAAGCACTTCTAGATTAGATTTTGGTTATTCAACGTGCGCGAACAGCTATAGAATTACATTGTATCCAACTGACGTAATTGACGTAATGACTTTTTTATAACCAGACTTTACTTTGATACGAGTTTGAATAATTTTTTTACTTCTTTGTGGTTTTTTTTTTATTACTTAAATGATCGTACACTATAGATTATTATGCAATATCGCATCGATTGCTTAAACTAAATTAGTCATTTAAAACAGTATACAACGTCACTTTTATCCAATTTTACGTCGTATTACGATAATAAAAAAAATAAAATACAACACAAATTTTGAGCCTGAAGTTTAATTACGACTGGATGTCAAAAATTATTAAAAATCCGTAAAAAATAACAACTGAATTGATTTTTCCAGAAACGTGTCAAACATCCCAGTTCTCAATTAATTCACTCTCTCACTGATCAAAGTTTGATTATTTCCATATTAATTAAATACACGGAAAATTAAATCGAAATGAAAAAAAAAAAAAACAAAAAAAAAAAATTCGTCAATCAATATTTTTCCGAGTTAAGTGCTGGTCTTTACGGGCGTGAAATTTAAAAAAAAATAAATAAATAAATAACGACGCATGAGAGTAAAAGTAACGGCATCCAGGGCAATAATTAGAAGGAAAAATCGAGACAATGCTGAATTACATGCGCAGCTGAGTGCACGTATCTGTCTGGCCAAGTTCTTTGTGTTACATTATACGTACCCGCACCACCTATAAAGCGTTCGTTTAGCATTGCAGGGGCGAGCCCCGAGAGGCCATATATAAGAAAACCGACCCGCTGAGCCCACGAGTGCGCTCGTAAAAAAATTGGCAATGCCCACATGAGTTGTACATGTATATACCTACATGGGAACACCTACGCGCAACTCCTTCCTCCGCTCTACGAGCATGCGTTTGTAAAATTATGTTGTATCCATCACGTGAGGGCATAATTATGCACACAACATATATATGTGCCCACAAGTACCCGGATGTGATGTATAGCTAGTGTAAGCTGCATTTGACTGCGGTTCGCTCTGTCCTGACTTTTACGAAATCCCAAGGTCTCTCTCTCTTTCTCTCTCTTACCAGTTATAAGTAGAGGTATCCGCCTGGCAATAGAAAGCAACGTTCAAGTGTACATTTCGTTTCGTCATGCAAGTGAACTTATTACATGGCAAAAGAGATATGTAGGTGAGGTTTTTAATTTTTAATTTTTTTTTTTTATTTTTTTTTTTTTCAACTAGATCGGGTTTTCCATGATTTTTATTACGCGTTTTAAATAGTACTCGCTCAACAGCTGGGCAAAAAAAAATTTTGTTTATCTCCTTGGATGTGAGAAATTTCACAATTTTCATTTAGATTTTTTTTTTTTTTTTTTTTTCCGTTCACTTGCAGGGCATATCGTCATCTTCCGTGGGCCTTTAGGAGTACATGAACATTGATAAATTTGTGATACGATTTTTTATTGGCTTTTTTACATTTTTAAGATGATGTCACAAACATTTTGAGGAATAATTTTCTAACCTAATTTTGCAATAAAAACGTTTTTTTTTATATTTTAGGGATGAATTTAAACAAAAAAAATAAATTAATACAGGAACAGCGATCTCGTCGATTTATTCGTAAAATCCTTGCTTCAGTAGTCTCCCGATTTTCCAAAAGTAGGGGACGACAATGCTGACCATTGCTGCGTACATCACGAAGTGTTTCTGAACTATTTGCAAGACTACACGTCTCATTTTGAAATAAGAAAATATATAAAGGTACATTTTTTTTTTTTTTTTTTTTTTCAACAAAACAAAAAAAACAGGTTTGCCACTTTAAAGTACAAATAGGTTTAAAAAATATTGTGACACGATTGCAAATC